AGCACTGTACTACGCCAATATTGCACTTTATCACACCTAGCACCGCACTTGCCAATATTGCACGTAATCACACCGGGCACCACACATTACAATATTGCACTAAAGCACAGCGAGCACCGCACTTCTCCAATATTGCACTAAATCACAGCGAGCACCGCACAGGACGTACAACGTCCAAATAATTATAAACAGAAGGAATTACTTACAGGGGATTGCGCTACATCACCACCCCTGTCAAACATACTTGACAAGGGGGTCGAATCCCGCTGGGGATGCCAATTACAGTTCCGACAAGGGGTCGAATCCCGCTGGGGATGCCAATTATGTTACGGCCCTACTGGGGTATAACCGGGTTCTTTTCTGGTGTTATTAGAATTTGGGAATCCGGCCCCAAGTTAGTAGAGGCTTTCAAGGGATGTGTTCCGTAACGCAAGTTAAATTAAAGACGGAGGGATACAAATGCTCTGATTTATATATATAGTGTCACCACCACCATAAATAAATATATAACAGTCACACGGGGGTTATAAATACACTATAATATACAGAGTTGTCTTCCTCTGAAGACACAGGATGCTCCACGGTGCGCACTTTGGGTAGCCCTGGTTCCTTCCTCCGTGGCCCACGATGAATCCTCTATGATTCTCTCGGCGAATCTACCCTGGCCACAGGCCAGCCAAATCACAGTCCCACTGGGTGCTCCGTCGTGGAGGCCTTCAACCACAATCCAACCTGTAGCTGGCAGGTTCCGATCAGCTCCGCTGTGTAGGCCACTCCACGACCGATACTAGGGTTGCGAGCCCTAGGCAGGAGCCTCGTGTGATCCCGCTGATCACTCTCCTCTCTAAGCACTACAGTGGCTAGTCTCTTCCATCAGCCAGCCCTGGATAAGGCGATTCCTGATACTGCCACATCACAGGCAGGCTAACACTCTCGACAGAGTTCGTCCGGGGGGTGACTCACAACTTCTTCAGCAGACTCGTGGAGAGACCCTGTCTGCCTTGGGTAAACTGATTCATCGTCCAATACAGCAGTCCCAGGTCGACTCTGTAATCAGACACGTCATTAGTACTGGGACTAGGGAACCTCACAGACTTAGACACAAATGTCCACCTATCCACTCCATAGATGGCGTTGCTGTCTAAGCGCCACCTCACCAGAGGTCAGCAGCGGCTATGTTATGAGCCGATTAAGATGGGAATCCAACACCTGTGGCCGGTAAATCCTGTCCTCACTAGATGGCGTCGTCCATTTGGAGGGGGTTTCGGGAGCGGACTCACAGACGATGTTGTCGTCACTGCTCCGTGCTCCGACGATGGACTCGGGTCCGTAACATTCCCCAATAATCTTTGGCAGGTGGAGTCCAGATTTCTTGGCGTTCACAGTTTCGATCAATTTGTTGACCTTTGCTTTCAATTCAGCTGTAGTGTCCTTCGTTACCCTTTGGAATTTAATTTGGTCAGAGAGTATGAGGTTTATTTACGCCAGATATTCGTCTTTTTTAAGAATGACGTATATTGGCGATTTGTCACCTCTCCTGACAACTATCTCCTTGTTCTCACGAAGGCTCTTAGCTGCCGCATTGAGCTCAGGGGACAGTATGGTGCTTCCGTAGTTGCCTCGATTCTTTCCTACTTCCGCAATAAGTTCTGCTTGTAAGGTGTCTTTGGTGGTGACCTTCTTTTGTGCCTCGAGGTCAAATATGTCGTCCAACAGAATCTCCAACTCCACTTTCCGGGCCATCTCACTTGGTCTGGACATTACGGAGTTGGTCTGGAAAGTGGAGCTGGAGATTCTGTTGGACGACATATTCGACCTAGATGCACAAAAGAAGGTCACCACCAAAGACACCTTACAAGCAGAACTTATTGCGGAAGGAGGAAAGAATCAAGGCAACTACAGGAGCACCATACTGTCCTCCGAGCTCAAAGCGGTAGCTAAGAGCCTTCGTGAGAACAAGGAGATAGTTGTCAGGAGAGGTGACAAGTCGCCAATATACGTCATTCTTAAAAAAGACGAATATCTGGGGAAAATAAACCTCATACTCTCTGACCAAACTAAATTCCAAAGGGTAACGAAGGACACTACAGCCGAATTAAAAGCAAAGGTCAACAAATTGACAGAAACTGTGAACGCCAAGAAATCCGGACTCCACCTACCAAAGATTATTGGGGAATATAAACCTGGATATGCGTATGGAAATGTCAAGACACATAAGCCTGGAAACCCACTTCAGCCAATCATCAGCCAGATACCCACACCCACGTACAGACTGGCGAAACGACTCAGCGGCTTGCCGACTCCTTATGTCCCTTGCGCCTTCAACCTGAAGTCTCAAAAGGAATTTGTTGGCTTACTGGGGGGAACAGGGGCCACAGGGATAAGAGCCTCGTTGGATGTAGAATCACTGTTTACCAACGTACCTGTGGATGAAACAATCGGGATGATAGTGGACAGAGTGTATTGTGATCCGGCCTGTACTCCTCTTGACATACCAGAAAACATTCAAAGGAAACTACTCCAACCTTGTACTAAAGAGGCACCCTTCTTGAGCCCGGATGGGCACATGTATAAGCAAGTAGATGGGGTCGCCATGGGTTCTCCCCTAGGTGTCCTGTTTGCGAACTTCTACATGGGTACCATTGAGCAAAAAGTCTTAGTCGACATGAAATTGAAACCGGCCATATACTGCAAATATGTTGATGACAATTTTACACAGGTACCTGATGTCAGACATCTGCAGGAGCTGAAGGAGGCATTTGAGCAGAATTCTGTGTTGCGTTTCACTTACGAGATGGAGAAGGATGGGAAGCTGCCTTTTCTAGATGTAACAGTCATGGAAAGGGCGGAGGTTTCCACACTGCAGTCTACACTAAGGAAACAAACATAGGAATGTGCCTAAATGCCAACAGCGACTGCCCTGACAGGTACAAGAGGAGTGTTGTTAACGCATACGTCGACCGTGCTCTCAGCCACAGCTCAGAATGGAAGCAAGTCGACGAAGAACTCTGTAGGGTAAGGCAGGTCCTAGTCAATAACGGCTTCTCCAATGGTTTCATCGAAGACATCATAAGAAGGAAAGTGAAAAGCCATGCAACCTCCGAAGAGACAACTAACACAACACCTATACCCCCTATTAGACTATTTTACAGGAACTTCTTTTCCACAGCTCATAAAACGGAGGAAAGGGTCCTGAAAGATATTGTTAATAGAAACGTTATCCCTACAGACAAAAATCAGAGGATACAACTGACGATTTACTATAAAACCAGAAAAACGGCCAGCCTACTCATGAGAAACTCTCCAGACACAAAACAGAACGCTTTATAAGAGACTAACGTCGTCTATGCCTTCAAATGCCCACTTGGGGACTGTAAGCTCCAAAAAACCCAGTATATAGGCAAGACAACAACATCTCTTTCTAGGCGTTTAACGATGCATAAGCAACAGGGCTCCATTAAGGAACATATAATCTCTTCCCATAACCAAACCATCGCCAGAGAAATCCTAGTAAACAACACAGAAATCATCGATAGATACAGCGATAGCAGGCGGCTTGACATCTGCGAGGCACTATACATCAAGAAGTCAACACCAGCAATCAACAGCCAATTATTGCACAACTATATTCTACCCACCTCAAGACTCCGCTCCAATATAGAAGCATCAAGAAATATGGACCAATAGGCTTTCTACAAACACTTCTATTCAATACCCATTGTTTCTGTTCTGTCTTGTGTTGATACTTTTAATACCCTATTAATATCCCCTATTGTTCTGTCTTGTGTTAATGCCACATCACCCTTCCCACCTCACTCAAATGTAGATATAAAATCAGAGAAACGCAAGTTCTAATCAGTTGTGTATTTGTGAAGTCTTTGAAAATGTAATAAGTTTTACGAAACGCGCCCGTGTCGCGTCAGACTAGAAATAAAAATGAATTTTGGAGAAGTGATTTTTGATTTACCTCCAACAGTGAAGCGTAATGTACGAAAGATTGAGAAAATTCGTGTTAGAATTATTAATCTTACTTTTTCGGTCATATTTAATAATATATGTCTACAGGAAAGACTGCTACCATATATATATATATATATATATATATATATATATATATATATATATATATATATATATATATATATATATATATATATATATATATATATATATAAAACGCTGAACTGTAATGTCAATCCTGACCTTAAAATCTTCCTAGAAGATTGTAACAGATCCCATGAGCACCACACCAGAAACAAATACCTGTTTGATATTCCAAGAGTACGACTTAGTCAAACTAGAAATGCTTTACAAATCAAGGAACCCAGAATGTGGAATGACCTTCCCAATTATGTTAAAGACTGTACCTCTCCCAACCAGTTTAAGATAAAAATTAAGTACCACCTAATAAACTCAATATAACCTCCCTCATCCCTAAATGTTAACCCATGTCTACGATTTTAAACAATGTTGTTTGTTGAACAAATTGTATTTTTGCTTTTTTTCTGCCATGTTCCCCCCCCCCCCTTTTTGATCATTTTTTTCTGATTTTTTCTATACACAATTTATACTTTAATCTCAATTAGTATTAAGTTTTAGCTTTATTGTTTTTCCTGCTCGAAACGCTTTGCGTAATAGTGGCTTTAGGCATTGTATGTACTAGCTGTATCTATAAATCCATCAACTTTGGTATTTCACCTTGTATGTATGTACTTTACCTGAATAAATATTTGTATTTGTATTTTGTATTTGTATCACCAAATTTATATAATATTTTCCTCGCTGTTTTCCCCCTTGGTTCCTGTATAGTCAAACTGACTGAGTGTTTTCCTGATTATTATTTTACCTTTTCCTTGGTTCAGTACGATCTACAATGTAAAATACTGATAGATAAAGGAACACTTTAGGTGGCTCGGAGCTTGAGTAAAGTCTTCAGAGTTTACTTTGGTGAGAGTCAATACAAGAGGAAGGAGTAACTGGGAGTTTCCTTGGCAGGTGCTGCACTCAGGTGTGCTAACGACGATGGTGGTGACGCTGGACGAGGCCGGGGACGTGCTACTATGTGGAGGCGTGAGCGCTGCTCTCTGCTCCCTCCTGCACCTGCTGGGACTATCCTGTTCCACCTGCTGGCTCCTCTTTACTACCGTCTGGCTCTTGACTGGCGTCACCTGCTTCCTGCTCTCTACTCTCAAGGTCAGTAACACGTGAGTTATCTTCCCCCCTACAACCATTCCTCTCTTTCCTGTCCAACATCACTGCTGTGTGGCAGCTGCCCTCTCCTCTCCACCACCTTACTGCATCCACCTCAGTACTGGTACTGGTGCTGGTGCCTCATCCAGACTCCATCATCTCAGTGCTGGTACCTCATCCAAAGGTATTCCCTTCCTCCCAGTTTCTTGGAAGTGCAAAATGGCAACGCCGCATTTGTTGTTGTCGTAGTAGTAGGTTAGATTATGAATGAATTGGCTGTTTATAACGAGGAGTCTCATTGGTCAAAGCACCACACATCGGTTTATATAATTCACACTGATATCGAAAAGAAAATAGTGTAGGAGAGTGAATAAATATTAATAAATGTAAATTAGTGAAAGAGAGAGATGGTTGTACTTGTTTCCTTAGGAGTTTATTGATCTTTTATGTAAACTATATAACGTATGAACATTTTACCTGGATACCTGAACTATTTAAAAATACAATACCATTTTACCTGAATAAAATTTGAATTTACGTATAGTTGTTTAGCTGTCGAGACAAAGGACGTGACGTCACACACATAACGATCCCTACCACCTCACTCATCATCAACACACAAAATCATTTTTCAGGTTAAAATTGTTTTTCAACCATTTACATTTGCGAAAATAGTTTATATACTTTATCAAAATAATATCAACACCTAATTACACCCCAGTGTTCGGTACGTAATATTACGAGAGAGAGAGAGAGAGAGAGAGAGAGAGAGAGAGAGAGAGAGAGAGAGAGAGAGAGAGAGAGAGAGAGAGAGAGAGAGAGAGAGAGAGACTAAAATATGGCAAATGCATGTTGGTATTATGAGTGTGACGTGTTGCTGTCTGAGGAGTGTCATAGGCTCAACATCCGCCGCTCTGTGATAAATGTTAAACGGAAAAGTTATTTTCTTCGAAAAACGTTTACAACACTGATCAGGCAAACAATACATATTCCGTCATCGGATGTTTCGTCACTTTGTGTTGCATAATGTGATGCTCTGATGCTCTGATCATGTATTAATCAAGTAACAGCCGGTTGTTAAACGACTTGGCGGGTCGTATTCCCGGAAAAATTTGGATTAAGAACTTGCATGAAACGCTATGCGTGCTAGTGGCTGTACAAGACTGTATGAACTCTTGTATATATAAATTAATAAAAACAAAAAAGAAATATATACGTTATTCAGCGATCTTTTGTATTGCTTAGTAATTTTTTCAGTAACTCCACAAGCTGATTTCCACACAAGTACATACCAAGGTCTTATTTTATTGTGAATGTTTTAATTATATTATATTTCTATCCATTATTTAATATTCCCTTTGTTAAGGCATTCATCCATTTGTATATTCTCCAATATCACCCATTTTTCTTGGCCTTGCTAGAGAATGCAAACTACGCTCTTCATATGAGCGTTTTCCTTTGGATTAACTTTGTTAAGCTTCTCTGTAAACGTTGAAGAACGGTGAACAAAACTGAACTATCTAGTGTAAATGGAGCTCGACCGGTATAATGTTATGCTCAAGAATAACATTAGAGGTCTTATTGCTAACGCTTCTAAACATAAGTTCCGGTGACCTGTTTGTCTCCTTCCGTGGACGGTAATCCTGCTTAAGGCTTTGTGTTGTTAGTAAACTGTCCTGAGTATCTTGCATCACTTTGTGTTGTTAGTAAACTGTCCTGAGTATCTTGCATCACTTTGTGTTGCATAATATGACGTTGTGGTGTATTGATGTTTTGTTGTTGTATGGTACAGTGGTGTGGTGTATTGATGATGTTTTGTTGTTGTATGATACAGTGGTGTGGTGTATTGATGATGTTTTGTTGTTGTATGATACAGTGGTGTGGTGTATTGATGATGTTTTGTTGTTGTATGATACAGTGGTGTGGTGTATTGATGATGTTTTGTTGTTGTATGGTACAGTGGTGTGGTGTATTGATCATGTTTTGTTGTTGTATGGTACAATGGTGTGGTGTATTGATCATGTTTTGTTGTTGTATGGTACAATGGTGTGGTGTATTGATGATGTTTTGTTGTTGTATGGTACAGTGGTGTGGTGTATTGATGATGTTTTGTTGTATGGTACAATGGTGTAGTGTATTGATCATGTTTAGTTGTTGCATGGTACAATGGTGTAGTGTATTGATCATGTTTTGTTGTATGGTACAATGGTGTGGTGTATTGATCATGTTTTGTTGTTGCATGGTACAATGCTTTAGTTACATATATTGTTACATAGTACAATACTTGGGAGTACACTTAATGAGCGGTGTTGCTAGGTTCGAAAATCTGGAATGTGTTTTGCACGGTATGATACTGTTTAATATATATTATGATTAGCGTTGTATGATATGACGCTGTGGAACATTGCTAATGGGTTGTATTACACGGTATAGCACTTTGGAATATTTGCTTTAGTTGTTGCATGGTGAGTAAAATTTTATGTCAAACACCCTTCAACTAGCCTTAATTATTAACAAGTTGGTTTCCTCAATTGAATAATTTATTAATAAATATTGTGAGAACAAATATATGTGGTTGGGTTGGTGTCAGTCTCCAGTCAGTCTGTTGTTAATAGACTGTATGTGGCTAACAGACAGTCTGTTGTTACCATCTGAATGTAGCTAACAGTCTGTTGTTAACTTCTGTATGTGGCTAACAGTCTGCTGTTAACATCTGAATGTGGCTAACAGTCTGCTGTTTACATCTGTATGTGACTAACAGACAGTCTGTTGTTAACATATGTGCCTAACGGAGAAGATTAACATGTCACAAGAGTTGAGAGCTGATCTCTTACCTTTGAAAATATTTCAAAATAATTAGATAATTTATAATTAAGTAAATAAGAACACATCATTCTGTCTCTTTTTTCCTTGTGGTTTATATTTAAATTCCTAACCTAACTAATGCAATAATAACTATTTTTATATAAACATTTTATGTTATGTAATATCATTTTCAATCACTATACTGACCAATGTGGTCACTAATTAGTTTACTTACTCAATTTTAGTAATAACCGTTGCCTGGGATTTTAGCCTCCCCTGTTATATATGGGACATGTTTAAGAACAGTAAAATAATGTGACTGGAGGAACAACACAGCACACGTGACAGGAAGAACAACCCAGCACACGCGACAGGAGGAACAACCCAGCACACGCGACAGGAGGAACAACCCAGCACACGCGACAGGAGGAACAACACAGCACACGCGACAGGAAGAACAACCCAGCACTCGCGACAGGAGGAGCAACCCAGCACACGCGACAGGAGGAACAACCCAGCACACGCGACAGGAGGAACAACACAGCACACGCGACAGGAGGAACAACCCAGCACACGCGACAGGAGGAACAACACAGCACACGCGACAGGAAGAACAACCCAGCACACGCGACAGAAGGAACAACCCAGCACTCGCGACAGGAGGAACAACACAGCACACGCGACAGGAAGAACAACCCAGCACACGCGACAGGAGGAACAACCCAGCACTCGCGACAGGAGGAACAACCCAGCACACGCGACAGGAGGAACAACCCAGCACACGCGACAGGAGGAACAACCCAGCACTCGCGACAGGAGGAACAACCCAGCACACGCGACAGGAGGAACAACCCAGCACACGCGACAGGAGGAACAACCCAGCACACGCGACAGGAGGAACAACCCAGCACACGCGACAGGAGGAACAACCCAGCACACGCGACAGGAGGAACAACCCAGCACACGCGACAGGAGGAACAACCCAGCACACGCGACAGGAGGAACAACCCAGCACACGCGACAGGAGGAACAACCCAGCACACGCGACAGGAGGAACAACCCAGCACACGCGACAGGAGGAACAACACAGCACACGTGACAGGAAGAACAACCCAGCACACGCGACAGGAGGAACAACCTACGACCTGCCACATCACAGGCAGGTCGTAGAACACTACACAGTCCCTCTTCGGCGGCAGCTCACTGCTTCCGTAAAGCAGAATGGAGTAGAGAGATATTGGCGGCCCTGGGTAGACTGACTGTCCTCGTACCACAGCAGCCCTACGTCGCCTTTGTGGATACAGACACGTCATCAGTAAATTGGCCAGTACATGGGACACAAGGAAATACCACTTACGGGCTCTAACATAAACATACAACTACTCCTACAATAGATGGCGCTGATTTTCTAGGCGCCACCTCACCAGAGGTCAGCACCAGCTACCTCTCGAGCTGACTAGGACAGGAATCTAGCGCCTCATGCTGGTATCATCCTGCCACCACTAGATGGCGTCGTCCATTTTGTGGGGGTTTCGGGAGCCAACTCACAGATGGCATTGACGTCGCTGCTCCATGCTCCGACGATGGAATCGAGTTCGTAACAACGCCACTTAGTTTGTCCGCCGCTCACGTGTCCACCTCTCATTGTCCGCCACTTAGTTTGTCCGCCGCTCACGTGTCCACCTCTCATTGTCCGCCACTTAGTTTGTCTGCCACTCACGTGTCCACCTCTCATTGTCCGCCACTTAGTTTGTCTGCCACTCACGTGTCCACCTCTCATTGTCCGCCGCTCACGTGTCCGCCGCTCACGTGTCCTCCACTCACGTGTCTGCCGCTCACGTGTCCGCCGCTCACGTGTCCTCCACTCACGTGTCCGCCGCTCACGTGTCCTCCACTCACGTGTCCGCCGCTCATGTGTCCTCCACTCACGTATCCGCCGCTCACGTGTCCTCCACTCACGTGTCCGCCGCTCACGTGTCCGCCGCTCACGTGTCCGCCGCTCACGTGTCCTCCACTCACGTGTCCGCCGCTCACGTGTCCTCCACTCACGTGTCCGCCGCTCACGTGTCCTCCACTCACGTGTCCGCCGCTCATGTGTCCGCCTCTCATTGTCCACCACTCAGTTTGTCCGGCGCTCACGTATCCACCGCTCACGTGTCCTCCACTCACATGTCTGCCCATCCCGTGTCCGCCACTTA